AGGAGGATAGTGAAAGAGAAGATGACTCAGTGCAAAGATGGGAAACAGAAGGAGAAGCTGAGTTCAGAGGACGCTGCACTGGGTAAAGCAGTAAAGAAGAGTGCTAGGAAAGACAAAAGACAATTCTACGATATGCTGGCAACTGAAGCAGGACAGGCAGGCCGCAGGTAAAAGATACCTTACAACATTATATCAGACAACCAGGTCTCTATGCGAAAAGAGATCAACCCGGATGATGAAACCAATAAAAGATGCTCAAGGGAATCTGATTACAGGAGAGGAGAAACAAATAAGACAATGGGCTGATCACTTTATTAAAGGACTCTTGAATTGACCATCACATGAACTCGCCAAGAAACACCACCGCCACCAACAGCACTCACACAACTGCCTGCCAGTGTAAACCAATCCTCCAACGAAATCAGAAATCTATGAAAAAATCAAGCTATTGAACTCCAGTCCGGAAGGCAGCAGGCCTAGACGGAATTCACCCCCGACCCCTGAGAACGGACCGAGAGGCTGCTGCAGACGTTCTTACGCCATTACTGCAAAGGGTTTGGAAAGTAAGAAAGGTACCTACCGATTGAAAGAAAGGTTGGCTACCTAGTCAAGCAGGAGAAAGCGGGCGACTTAGGCCTGTGCAAGAACTGGTATGAAATAATCCTTATGTCCACGCCAAGTAAAATACTAATTCTCATCATCCTGCAGTGAATAAAAGATGGAATGGATGCAGAACTTCACTCTCCCTGCGAACAAGCTGGATTCAGAAAAGAGAAATCATGTGCTGATTGAATTGCAACACTGCACACCGTCATCAAAGAACAAAGCATAGAATAGCAGTCAAACCTCTACCCCAACTTCATTGACTTTGAAAAGGCCTTAGACAGCGTTGACCAAGAAGTAATTCAAAAACCACTTCAACACTATGGCGTACCTCAAATTTCGGTCAACCTTATTCAACAGCTGGCTATATGACAGTATTATGTGTCAGGTGATTCACAACGGAAAGCTCAGCGAGGCGTTCGAAGTGCATAGAGAAGTGAGAAAAGGCTGACTGCCTATTATCACCGATGATATTCTTAACTGTGGTGAACTGGATTATATGTCAGACTGTGGGGAGTGAGAGGTCAGGAATACACTTGACCACCGACAAGAAAACTCTAGAAGATCAGGATTTCGCTGATAAAATATGTCTAATGTCAAACAAACTTGAAGACTTTCAGGCGAAAACCAACAAATTGGCAGAATATGCTGGCAGTGAAAACGGGACTCCTGGTGAACATAGAGAAGATGGAGGACAAGAAGATAACCAACAAACGACAACAACAACCAGCACCAATCACCATCAACGGCGGAGATTTAACAGAGGTTGCCTTCCTCACTTGTCTGGGAAGCATCGTTTCAACTACAGCCAACAGACAAGGATGAAGATATCAACACCTGCCAGAATTGGAAAGGCAAAATACGCCTTCATCAACCTGAAAACATTTCGGAAATCTTCTGCTTTCACTCACCATAAAGAACAAGGTCTGGATTTTCAACAACATTGTGAAAGTGGGTCACTGCTTCTCAACGGGTCAGAAACTTGGTGATTGTGTTACGAAAAGGATTTCCAATAGACTGCAGACTTTCATCAACCCCTGTCTTAGCTCCATATTGAAGATCAAGTGGCCAGAAAGAATAAGTAACAAGAAACTGTGGCTGGGAACAAACCAATAGGAGAGAGCCGATTGCTCAACAGATATGCAGGAGGAAATAGAGATGGATCGCACATACATTGAGGAAACCGTTGAATAACATCGCGTTCAATGCAGGCCATCAATAGAGTGGGATCCCAATGGGTGGCGACAAGTTGGTCGTCACTGCGAGGGTGACATGGAGGAAATCGTTTGTGGAGTAGGAGACGAGAGATTATGGGCAGTTGTAGACGCAGCTGAAGAGGGCGACAGGATATAGAACAAAGCGTAGGTATGTTGTTGCAGCCTTATGTTCCCCTCATAACCCCAGGGGATAATAATAAACAATATACTAATCATAATCAAATTACTGACCATCCACAGAGTGACTCTAGAGTTTATAGTACAAACTAAAACGCAAACTAATCCCTTGTGATAATTCTTCTGTCCTCCTCGAGAAATGCACAACATTTGGTTGAAAGCCAATGTGGAAAAGTGAACTTTGAAACCTGAAGACAAAGATGAATGATTAAGGATTGCAGGTAGTTAGTTGTATCCCTCAGGCAGTGGCAGTTAACACCGAAAATCTTAGGAAAAATTACCTCGTGTACTAGGACGCGTTGCCATTCACAATTATACTTCTCAAGTTTGGAAGAAATTTGTTCATCAACAGGTTGCAGACGTTTTAGATACTCACAAAAGTAAACAGCACTACTACAGGTCATATTTTAACACATTAAAACCGAGTGAACAAAAGAAATTATATGCAATACAATGATGGAGGTCAATGATAGCCCAAGTTTTAAATAGGCAACGTGTGAACTCTGCTATTTGTCAAACGGCTTCATTGCCTGTATTATTTACTGAAGTTCCTAAACCTGACTGCGGTTAGTTGCTTCATGTTTTTCGCCTCCTGAAGTACAGAAAGAGCTTATCACTTCAGACAGATTTTGATGTGGAGAGTACGCCGTTCACATCCTTTCCATCCACTAAGCTAACACAGGACCACTTTATCCTGTGATTTCTGACCATATAGAACCAATAATATCCTAAGATTCTGCTAAAGAGATTTGCTTTTAAGATTTAGCCAGATTGGGAGCCATGCAACACAGTGGACAAATATACCAGGACAAATAGTGTGTCACTTGCTGTCTGTTTCGAGACGATAAACACATGCCAAAGTATCCAGTAATAGAATTCCACAATCTAATCCGAGTAAAATGATTAACTGTACAGCTACTCTAGCACTTATCTCAATGAGATTGCAGTTAGGATCCATACCAGTATATGACACAGTTCACATTTTTCTGGGACCACTTAAAAACTATGATCTGTTGATACTTTGCCCCAAGTGTCATCAATCAGTTGTATGTACAGTTACGTAATGCAAAGAAGTTTTTCAGTTGGTCCAAAATACCATCACTGTAAAGCCTATTTAAACTCATGAATGCAGAAGAAAAACTCTGAGGTTCCAAAACAGCTGTAGACAACCTAAGCGTGGTATGGTTTGAACCTTAAGTAAGCTGTTTGGAAATTTGGTTTAAATGTCTCCTTCAAGCCTATTTATTCCATTATCCCATTCCATGTCCTTCTCGCATAACACTCTTAATAGTTGTTTAGGGGTAAGACAATCAGTAAAAAGAATGCTGATGAATTATACAGTGAGGCCACCATCGGTTAAATAACACACCCGGTCTTCTGGGTATATGCAATTTTATTTATGCCGCTGTAATAAATAAAAGGCGTTCCAGTCGATCTGTGTTTTATGAGGCACCATACACAGTGGTAAAGACTATTGACCTTTCAAGGGGTGAAGAACACCAGCTGAAGGAGGATTTGGGATTACATTGTAGCGGTAAATAATTCCCCAAAATGATTGACCACAGCAATCATCACTGAACATTGGATGCTGACTCTCACTGTTTAAGTCGACTTCTTTAGCTGAAGGTTTCCGGTCAAGCATCCATACCACTTGGTACTCCGTCGTGTCACGTTCGTGCACGATCACTAGCCAGCTAAGCATTCATCTCGGTCTATGATTCGGCCCCGAAATATATCTCTTAGTTTGGATGATCAAATAGTGTCTTTTGATTTGCCCTTGGTCCACGACGAATGAATACTATAGAAGTTGTTGTTATTAGATCTTGCTTCAGTATACTCCGTACAATTCGCAAACGTCAATACCGCCAGCCTCTAAAACATTTTCGTTATTTTTAGTATGTTCAGGGCAACTTCCTCGATTTTGACAAGACAGCGTCACCTTTCGCCATTACGGTAAATAGAATTTTCGGACCGTACTTGGAAGATTGAGAGTTGGTGGCTTTTTCGGTTGGAAATTCCGCCATAACTTTCAGGGAACCTCAGGTGGGGATTAGACTAGATTCACTGAATGAGGGTTACTAGCCTTGTGATTCGTATACCTGGACATGTTTCATTGTCAGCCTCTTTCTATATTTTTTAATTTTTTATTATAGCTTGATTCCACACCAAGCTGGCATGTCATGCTTGAGTGAGACTTTGCGGAATATTTCTAGGTGTAAGTCAACGATAATGAAAACACATGAGAACTATCACTTAGACCCGAGGTCAGTAGCCAGTGTTTTGTGCATGAAAGTCGTAATCTGGCTTTTACTGGTGGCCTGTATCTTAACGGAGGGATTTTTTCAATTTAGACTAGGCTTTTGTTTTGGTGTGATATTGAATAGCTCTCCTGTATCAAAAACTCTTTACCAGTGTGCTTATGCTCGATGTGCAGACATCTGTTCATCTTCTTTATAGTCACTACCTGAGAAGGTACTCATTTCGCGGTTTCTTGTAAAGTGTGCTTGTCCAAATGCATGGGTGTGCACTTCCTTGGACGTGGGTCGAACTGCTGTGTATTTCTCTTTTAAAGTCTGCTGTTGATCTGGCTTTCTCATTTTGTCAGGTTCGCAATTTTTTGGAGTTGCACTAGGGTTAAGGGTTGCGCATACAGGTTAGGGTTAAGTTAGGGTGAGGTAGAATTGAAGATACTGTAAGAAAAGAATGTCCCGGGTAAATTCGGCAGTTAATAAATTCATATTTGGAATCTGTTATCAAACTTTCAAGAGTTTGCCCCCTTCAACCTTGATTAGTTGCTCAAGGTCATTCCGTGGTAGCTATCCCTTTACATCATACAAACCGCTTGATTAATTTTGAGACCTTGTGGATGCAAATAGGAAACATACATAAATTTACTCAAGAATTATTATTGTTGTAATTAACATATCTGCGTCGAAAGCGTAGCCAAGCATTGTTGAATTCAGTCAAAGTTACAGGCTAGAATAGGTTGGCGGTGGTTGCAAAATGCTTGGAATGTATGTGGTTATGCTTTAGTTCTAATTTGTTCTTCAGGAATTCAGATGACCGGAAGTCTGCATTATCTTTCATATGCCCGAGAGTACCGTCTCTTGGCACGGTAAATGGATTTCGGCTTTCCACCATAAATTGCAACCTACTGGCGGACTTCGAATCATGTTCTCGTGGTCCTTCGATTTCACATCACAGTCAACCCATGAAAGTTTTTTTGAGAATAAGACCTTATGCATGCGCCAAAGACCTATCTGAAAAAGTATCGAGGAATTATTATCATTGACATCTTTTTAGACTATATTATCTTTCCCTGATTCATATACAGTTGTTGCATATCCCCCGGATGCAGATTTTCGGAAAAACCAAGTCCGTAATTTCCAGAAAAGTGCCAATAAGTTCACTTTCAACGGAATATTTCATGAATCTGCGACTCAGAAAAAAGTTTTTGAAAAGGTAGCAGCAGATAAAATCCGCTCATTCATCGAGGGTTTGAATGGTCTCATTTTCGCCTATGGAACTACTAGCTCTGGCAAAACCCATACTCTACAAGGTAATTTACGGCAATATTCTAGCACTTCTTAGGATCCCGAAATGATGCTGGTATTGTACCACGAACCTTACACACAATATTCAGTCTTGTGAAGCACAAAAGCGATCCATTTCTTATGCCGAAAGACTTTTCAGATGTAATTAGTTTGAGCGAAGACAGGGTACAGGAGATTTTAACGGAGAAGTCTACACTTCTGAAATACTCTGATGGCATTTTTGAGGTAAGCGTTTCGTCTTCTTTATTAGCTTCTAGTCAAATCCTCTTCCTGGTAGTGAAAATGAACCAATCTGTTTAGATGAAACTTTCACAGGTAAAATATTGCCCTCTGTTAATTCTTTTACTTACCCATACATCAATTTAGACATGAGGTGTTCAAGTGATATCCGTTACAGTTTCTGGATTAGTTTTGTGGAGATTTACAATGAAACGTTCTACGATCTTCTAGACTCTGTTCAGTGCTCTAATATGTTTTCTAGTCAGTCTAATGGTTCTACAAGCATGCGGACAACTCAGAACCAACAAAATTTCCGGAATATATTCAGTGTGAACAATAACGCATCACATACAACAAACTTTACAAACCAACCACGAAGAAAACCACTGGAACTAAGAACTGATAAAAACGGAAATATTTTCGTAAAAGGTATTGTTTTTTAAGTTTTGATATCTATTCCGTAATTTCCGTACTTATTGGTTGATATCTGTTATTCAGGTTCAGATTTATTGGCTGAAGATAGAAGGCTTGGAGACTATGTTAATCTTTTTCTAGTAAATTTCTCTGGTTGTCCAAACCCTTCTTGAACGAATCAGTTAAAGTTGCAGACAGCACTTCTTCTGGGAGTCGGTTCCAAGAGTTTATGACTCGATGTGAGAACCAGTGCTCAACAGCAATATGATTTCTTCTTGGCTTTTGAACTCTCCTGCTATGTCCTCTAAGGTGTTCCGACCTGGTGGGAAGGAAAAGAGAAGATGGGTCAGGTCCGTAGTCATTATTTAAAATTTTAAAGTGATTAAATCTCCTCTCTGCCTACGGTATGACAGGGAGAAGAGCTTTAAACTGTCTATTCTTTCCTTGTATGATAAGTTAGTCATGCTGAGAACCATAAGTGTCGCCTTCCTTTGAACCATTTATAGAATATGAGTCCCCTTTAAGACAACGACTGGCTGCCTGGATACAGTTTTATAGTCTTCACCTCACCAGAGATGTACATAAGGAGGTAAACATCTTTCTGGTGACAGCACAGCGTATGTCCACCCGATGTTTTTGCGATTTGTCCCAACTTACAGGTACTCCTTGTCTTCATATAAAATGATATTCAAGTCGTTTTCAATGGTCTAAATTCTTCACTATGATAGGATATCGGCAAGGAAATATTATTCCTTGTCCGTACCTTTGGTTTGAGGCAGGCAAACTTGATACTATACCGTAGCCTCGTATTGTCTCTACCTTTTTCGACTACTGTGTAAAGATTATCTGTGACCTACCTTTCTTACAGTGATCACATTATTTCTTCTTACCATTCATGTTCCATCTGACTGACTAATTATGTTAGTGTATTTTAACACAAACGTAATTCTTAAACAGGCTTTTCTAAGGTGAATATAAAAGTAAATAAGCCTAGGATCTTCTGTTTGTAGACATGTGGGGAAGAGACTCTTTCTACTTGTTTTTATTACGAAGTGTTAATGTTGTAGGATTTTAGAATAACCGATATTGGGTGGGTTAGAAATCGGAGAATCAGGGTTATTTTATGAAATTTTTAGGTGTGTGAAGTGAGATGATCTGTTCATGTCAGTCATACCTACTAGCCTCTCCTAGCTCTCTGGTTTCAACATAGAACTTAGCACCGATGTGGAGCAGTTCGAGTCGCCACACTCCATGTAGCCCACAAAGCGGGAGAACAAAGGAGAAATGTAAAACAGATACAGTAGACAGAGATGTGAAGCAAAAAGAATAGTAACGTCGAAGAACGATATAGTTTTATTGCGTATTATAATTCATAAGGAGTGGATGCATATGTACTGTCATTGAGAACGATTTTGAGTCATATCACCAATTGTCTTCAGCCACTGGTGTTTACCGTCCGTGGCTCAAACTAACTGTTGTGGATTTCATACATTTGGTTCCCTTGATAAATTTCGATAGAGAAAGAAAGACCAAATTTGCAGTATAAATTGATATCATTCTATTTCACAGGTTCTTACCAGGTGGAGACTACCTGTTGTAGACTTCATTGACTGATGAAGCCATGTTTTGGTTTGACCACCACTATCTCTTTTCCAATCTGACCCTATGTCAGCTAACGTTTCCCGTTGAGGAAGGTGATGGCTAGGCATACGTAACACATGCCCTAACCATCTCAATCGATGTAACCTCACAACCTTGTCTATTGGTTTCCCCTCTTTACTTAGCACAGCCTCTCCTAATGTTAAATGTTGCAGTGCTAAAATTGAGGGAAATTGAAGGAAGTTATATTAACCTATGTAAAGTTACTCACTGCTAGTTTAAAACAGAAAGGAATGTTAATGAATGAGCTATAATTTTTTTATGTCTTAAGAATCACCCGTTGGAGATTAGGTGACATAGTAAAAAAGAGTGAACTACATTGAATTAGGTTTACCCTCAGTTGAATTTGTCTCTCTTATTTCTGTCAGTCTTCGGTGATGTTTTTAGTAATGGTAATTTAAAATAACTCACATTTTAAGAAATTTTACCTTTTATTAGTATCACATTTCTGACTTGCTTCATTTGAATAAGGCACTAAGAAGACAAATTTCGCGAGATGATATCATTTCGTAGTTTCTTTACAACCGCTTTACGACTAACATGGTTAACAATAATAAAATAAAGTTCATGACAATTACTCAGTTAAATAAAACAAAAGTACATACTAATGACCAATCATATTTAGATAGGTCAAGTAAAGCGGTTGTAAAGAAACTAGGAAATCATGATATCATCTGGCGAAATTTGTCTTCTTAGTGCCTTATTCAAATTTATCAAAGGGACTAATTGTTTTAATTTTCTCAAACGAAGGCTCACGAAAGATACTATTATGCTTCATTTGTGTTACTTTCTGGGAATGTTATAAGAAAATGAGAATTTTTTCGAAGTGACACGTGTTTATGCAAATAAATATACAAGTAGGAAAACTTCCAGCTATTTAATGGTTTTTATTGTCGTGAAAAAAAAATCCTTAATCATTTTTGGGTTGAAAAGTTGAGTAGAAACTGTGCAAGAAGTTGTCTCCCTAGATTTATTAACATTGTGTTGTATTTACACAGAGCATACTTTTCTGATTTTGCTGTTGGTTAGGTATGAAATGGTACCCTATCGGTTCACCTGAAGAGGCTTTACGACTTGTTGCAGTTGGTCGTCATTGTCAAAAAGTCGCCTCAACTCGTTTAAATCAAGCAAGCTCAAGATCGCATAGTATTTTATCTATAAAAGCTGTAAAAGTAGTGAATAAAAACAATCCAAATTTTGCTCGAGTTAGCACGCTTATGTTTTGTGATTTGGCTGGAAGTGAACGATCTGTAAAAGCGGCTACAGGTGGTCAAACAATGCGTATTCGTGAGGCTGGAAATATCAACTCAAGTCTGTTAACATTAGGAAGGTTTGTTGGATATTGTAAAATTTTTCTATTCTTTCCTTTTTGCCCATGAGATTACTATGACCTACCAGAAGTCAAAGTAACCTGTATATCCCATGAATTTGAGAAAGAGAATGCTTAGTAATGAGTGTCGCTATGTTTATTTCGTCACTTATATTTCCTTACAGACTTCACGATATCTCTGTGGATGTATTATAGTATTGAAATAGGGCGTCATACAGGACTTAGACAATAGGCTCATTGGGAGGGAGAAAACGTGTAGCCAACTGTCATCCCTGGGCTATATTCACAATCTGGTCTGTCATACGGACGACTTTTGTCAATCCTTTCGGTAAGACTCGTACAAACTCCATCAAAAGTCACCTAAAAAAGAGGATCAGAGAGGTGAATAGGTGGGTCAAGAAACACGATGATTAACAGTTATCTCGACGAATTTATGCACAAAAATTGGTTTAACCTAACTATGAGGACTCCTATGAGAAATTGAGAGGCTTTGTCGGAACATATATAAGGATTGATATCAGTTAGAGAACCATTGAAAAGCAACACTGGAGTATTGGACAGCCAGCTGTTTCTTTCGTCCTAGTTTGATAATCATCGACAGTACGCACCCACCAACAGCGTTCGAACCCAGAACCTTCCGGCTACAAGGCAAGCTGACTCGTATACCATTCACCCACTAGGACCCGACTCTTCAATGGCCAGCCTATGAATTCTAACTTCTACCAATTCGTGATTTAGCGCTACCCCAACCAATGTCGTTGATAGGATATCCATCCTCACACTTGACTGGATGGACCTCACTGGTCACGCCTTCTCACTAGAACTCCGGGAAATTCCGTCCTGTAGCAAGCCACTAGCGAGCATCATATTAATTTTCTGTAGTTGGTTTTCAATGGTTCTCTAACTGACATCAATCCGTGATCATTTCGTAAAAACAAAACTAATCCTTACAAACCAACTATAGAAAAAAAACATATAAGTACTCATAATTATTTTTTAACATTGCATTATGTGTATACAGACGTTTTTCTTAAATGTAGCATTTCTACTACGGACGCATCTGCTTGGTTGATGGTGATTCACCAAGGTTTTTATTAGGTAGTATTGTTTAGGCCGCTATAATTTAAAGTCACCGACTATTCTTCATTCCGTTTTTTGTAAACCAATTATTTGTTTAGAGACCATAAAGATGATATAGGTATGAAGTGTGCACATTTTCAGAGTTAGTGTTTTTGACTCAAATGAATAGCTAAACAATGATCTATATTTTCACCACACACACACACGCTACTGGATTATAAAATTACTTACGACGGTGCCATTATTGTCTGCCAGAGATAGAACTACAGTTCAACATTGTTTTCGTTGCTCACTAACGATTGGCCCGGTTCAGGCGGCAACCTGGGGTTCTAGTGGGAAGCCGTGACCAGTAGGGTACAGCAGCTTGAAGATGAGGGAGGGAGAAGACATTGCGAAGTGGTCGCTTTATTTCATGAACTGGAAGAAGTTAGAATTCATGGGCTGGTCATTGGGTCAGGTCCCAGTGGCTTAATTGTCTGCTAGCTAGCTCGCCTTGTAACCAAAATGTCCTGGGTTCGAACCGTCTCGGTGGTTGCGTGCTACCGAACAGTCCCAAACTAGGCTGACAAAACAGCCGTCCAGTACTTCCTGTTCTCCTGGTTCTCCTATTGATGTTAGCTCCAACTAATCAAACAAAATCCCTACAAAAACAATACTTGTTTTCGAGAATCCTAATCTGGGAAAAGGCAAATGTCGTGCATGTAATGTTCAACTGATTATAACGAAGTTTTGTAACAACTCTTTAGCGGCAACACCTGTTTCACAACAACCTCAAGGTCTAATGCATGCTAACTAACTGTTGTTCTGTTACTAGAAACCTTGCCTGTCATATCGTCAAGACTTAAAAGCGCCTGTGATCCATCAGTCAGTGGGCTACAGGTTCGAGTCCTGCTCCACCTACTTGGGCATAAGCGACTGGGTAGTAACATAAGCCTTGAAACCATAAATCAATATGTCCCGGGTAATTGAGCTTGAACAGTATGCACTTGACGGTTCAAATTATTCGGCTTTTTTTTCTCTTAAATTCCCAGTCTTTAGGGTTTGGTATTAGACAAAGGATTATTGTTATTTGTAAAAGAACACACTTCACATTAATAGTATGTTGTAATACACAACACTATGCGTATATTGCTGATTCATCCACGTTCATCATTGGTTTAATATCATGCATTATCATTGGATGAGAATATCTCTTATCTTTGAAGTTAATGCTATATCTAGGAACGGATGATTTTTTTTATTCCTTCACGTTCCCCAGTGGAACATAGGGCTTCAAGCTAGAGGCTTGAAGTTTCTGTAGCAGTGGTGATTATTTTTACAGGATGAGGTTGTTAGCCTCATGCCCAACCTTTCCTGCTGCTTACCAGTCTTATTACTGGCTTAGCGAGGTAAAGGAGTGCATCGACCGGGGATCGAACCCCGGACCATGTGCATGGTTGGCGAGCATCCTAACCGCTATGCCACCGACGCACAGGAACGGATGATTAGATGAACAGAATTCTAAGAGGCAATCATCAGAGGTGTCTGTTAGTCACCATTGACCTCCACAGTTATTCTCCCCCCCAATACGCTTTTCACATAAACCTAATTTTTGTCACCATAAAAAGTTTTATAATTATTGTATTGGAAATTTCATTATGTGAAAAAAATCAATTAATTATTGAACTATATTTCGCAGGTGTATTGAATGTCTACGGTATAATCAACTGCATCCGGATAATCCAAAACTAGTGCCTTATCGTGATTCAAAACTTACACGTTTATTTCAAGGCTTTTTCACTGGTCAGGGAAGAGCATGCATGATAGTGAATGCATCAACAAATCCAGAATTATACGATGAAACTTTACATGCTCTACGCTTTGCTGCTTTAGCTAGACAAGTGATCGTTGAAGCAAATCCCATGGCAGAAACTGTTGTTTTGCATACAAATAAAAATGAAGTGAAATCGAACCTTCATAAAGAAGTGAAACATAAAATGTTGGTGAATAATAATCAGACGACTGTAGTCAAGTATGTTTCCTCTGTGTATGTGTGTGTGTTTGTGTTTTTCACTTAGCTATTGTAAACTTTTATATTTAAACAATGTGGTGGATGCGCTAAGTAGAGCAATGCCTATAGGTTTACTGAGTTTATTGGAGATGTGGTGCATTGGCTGAAGCACTCAATTTTCAATCAATGGGTTCCAGGTTCGAATCCCGCTCCACCTACTTCAATCTGCCCAACTGGGGTGTATCATTAGCTCCTACACAAAAGTGTAGCTTATAGCCCAGTACTGAGTAATTGAGTTTTGCTTAAAGGAAACTCAGCTCTAACACTAAACATATTCAATAAAATCTGTTGGTCAATGGGGGGGGGGTTGGCGGTGGCCAAACAAAAATATGGCATCAATCCATGAAATCCTTGACAGTTAAACTGAGTCAGGTAGGGAGATGCAGACTTCCGGGTTGGGGCCCGCCCTCGGGACTCTAAGAATCAATGGCTGGAGACAATAGGTGACATGGCTGAAAATCGTTGTCAATGGCGCATATGTATTCAGTCTCTGTAGTCTTTCATATTCCTTTCTACCATTACTCATTCTGTTTCACTCTTATACTTGTCAAAACTCTATTGATTCTCTTCACTCATCTTCTTGTCTACCTTTGTGTGCTCTTCGGAACGTGGCAACTCGAACTACTGCACTTCTGTGCCAAGTTCTATGTTGAATCCAGCCAGCCAGGGGGGTTGGGGTGGGTGGTCATTATTCTAGTTCACTAGAGAAGAAACACTTCAACCAAATATTGTTTGTTGCCACACTAATGGGGGAAGCTGTGGCTCATTGGATATATTGGACATAGGCCTTCGAACTTCTCCACTTTTCAAGGCGTGAATGAGTGTTGTTCACTACCAAGTGCATTAATATTACATGTGCTAGATGAGTAACACCATTTCTCCCCCACCCGTGACAATGTAAGATTAAGAATTTTGGATGATTTGATTTATGAACACTTAGCAGGATAGTTTCATTATTTTTTTATTTCCTTCACGTTCCCAGTGGAACATAGGGCTTCAAGCTAGAAGCCAGTGCTTATTTTACAGGATGGGGTTGCTAGCCTCATGCCCAACCTTTCCTCTTCACCAGCGTTATTTCTGGCTTAGCGAGGTAAAAGAGTGCGTGAGAAAACAATTGCACACAAAGCTGATGAGTAATTACTTATTATTGCCTTCCTCAACGATCAATGTTAATCGACATTGAATGAAGTTGGAATAAAGGTTAGAGGTGGTCAAACCAAAACCTAGTATCAGTCCACAGAGTCTTTGATAGTTGGTTTTAAGTCACGGAAAAAGCTATAGACTGTCTGGTTTGGAGTCCTCAGGATTCTAAGGACCAATAATAGCTGAAAATCGTTCTCAGTGAAGCAGATGCATTCAGTCGCTTATATCCATTAAACCCAAATGTTTTTGCATGCTGCTATTCTTTCTTCCTTACATTTCTGTTTGTCGCAGTACTTTTGAGTATATTTTTTCCCTCTTTTCTTATCTTCTTTTGTATACTGCATGGAGTATGGCAACCTGAACTGCAACTGTACTTTGTGCAAATTTGCATGTTAAAACACTGTCGGTCAACCGATACCTTCAATAAGCATTCACTTCACCTTGGCATGCTAGACCCTTCTGGACCAAAACTTCCCAGCACAGCTCCAAAACATCCATCCAGTAGCCATCAATGTGCTGTAGATTGATATTTCGATTATGGGGGCGGCGATTGTTTGGAAATCATTCCAAGCTAAGAGTTTAGGAGTTCTGGTAGCAGTGGTTTTTTCAGTTTTCACTGAGTAGGGTTGCTAGCTGCCCCAGACCCCCCCGGCCAAGCTTCCCTCTTCACTGGCCTTACTACTGGCTTAGCAAAGTTTTAAGTGTGCATCGAAACCCGATTGGCGAGCATTGTACCTCTGAAATTTGGTGGAAATGAAAAAGTTTAATCGTAAAGAGTATGTAATGCAGTCGGATTAGGTGAAAACTTACGTAGTTTGTGTTTCGTTATTGTGGGATTTATATATTATTTGAACTCGATAACCCCATAAAGCATTGAGTAACATTGTTAATCGTAATATGAAATTGATATTGACAATCCAGTTTACTTCGGAAGCAGAATCAGACGTTGGTGAACTACCATTTCTAGACTGCCTGGCTAGTTAAGAGAAGGAAAAACGGAAATTTTAGTATATCTATATTCAGGAAAAAAACCCACTCCAACGAATATTTAGACTTCGGATCATCACACCCGATCAGCGCAAAGGTATCAGTTGTTTCAAGTCTTCTTAGACGAGCACACTCTTTGATGTTAACGGATGAAGAAGGGAAATAAGAAGAAATATCAAACATTACTGAGACTCTCAAGCAAAATAACTACCAGGAGAACTTCATCAACAAAATCAACACTGACATTAAGTATGGTCGAAAACGTATTCCGAAAACATGGACCTCAACAGTTGTCATTTCATATAGAGCAGAGACGTCAGATGATATCAGAAGAGTACTCAATCAGCTCGACATTAGAGTTTTCTTCAAAACATCAGATACACACACACACTACAAATCAATCTTGTCCACATAAAAGACCAGATCCCTGAAGATTCTCTATCCAACTGTGTCTATAAAATAAAATGCTTGCAGTGTGACGCGATATACATTGGACAAACATCTCAAGAAATCAAAATCAAAACCGCAGAGCCGCCTCTATTTGAACACCGAGAAATCCAATTGAACTGAAAAAACTTGAAAAATCATCAGCCATAGGTCTAGATGCTATAGAATTGGGTTACAAAATTGATTTTGACAATAGTGAAATAATCCAGAAAAAGCATTTCAGAAATCATAAAGAACGTCTAATATCAGAAGCACTTCATATCAAGTGGAATCCAAATTGTCTGAATAGGAATGATGGACTAAAACAGAATATGACCTGGTTACAACACCTCCTTCCCCTCCCCCATGAAGTGACAAAATCAACACGAATGTGTCATAATCAATTTTATTATGTAAACACATGCTGCTTTTATAATTTTACACACTTATCGAACCCGACAATCTACACCTGGTTTTGTTATCTTTACCAATTGACCAATTTGACAACGTGAAGAGAATTACTCCATGCTTAAGAATGATGATTAAGTTGTTATTGTATATAAGCTGAATGGATTTTGTAAATTCTAGTTTAAGAATACTTTGTTAGTTACTAACAGCATTGCATAGCGAAACGTCAGTAAAACCACAATAATATCGTTGCTTGTTTTTCATTCATTGGGAAATACCAAAAAAACAGCCCTTATTATAATTGATACTGACAAATTGTATCGGTGGGGTACTGATAGAAAGTTAAAATAAATGTGATGATAATTTGGCTCATTGTCCGTCCCTTCTTGCACGCAACCTACTTCCACTTGGTGGTCATGTTGTAACAACAGAAGACAAGGGCCAGGCAAAAGATCGTTTATTAAGGAAAATCATTAATGTACATTATTGTAGATTATTGTTAGTAGAAAATACAGTCTTTTGATTGGTTGTTTCTCACAGAAAGTTAACCTTGCATCTCTTTGTGGCTGTGTCAGATCATCCATATGGTAACTGTATCCGCTTACGCAAAGCCTTTGTTCTCATTTTCTCACCACCAATATTGGGGACATAAACATTGACGTGAATTACTGTCTACCAACTTTGGCTAGCAGCCAGCTCTCACCACAGTGTATTAAAATCCTGCTTCGACTATATTTTCGCTTAGGCGGCAACCGGTTTAGTATCCATAAGCATTCAGCCATGAGGTGTGCCTCTCCTCACTTCCTCGGGTGTTATAATTCTGTACTGGGTTACAGAAATGTGAGTGAGTGAGTGAGTAACATGATTATTGAAGTGTTCTACACAGCATCTGTTTCAAATGCAGTAAACAAAGTTGGGTGGGTGCATACTGATGAAGAGTCCCAAACTGGGACGAAACAGCTGTCCAGTACTCGCAGGTTTTCCAATGGTTCTCTAACCAATGTCAGCTCATGATGAAATCATGTGACCAAAAAAAGTTTTACTGGAACGCTTTCTTCTTCTTCTTCCTGTTCATCTCTTTAGATCTAAGGAACCGGATACTATTTTGGAAGCTCAATCAACACGTTGGTCCGAAGATGATCTTGAAAAGACGCCTACTTCACGAGGAGGAGAAGAAGAAGAAGAAGAAGGAGTAGGAGAAGGAATAAGCGATGAGATAAATTCGACAGTTGAATTTCACGAAGTATCTCCTACGGAAGCAGTCACACCGTCCAACAGTGACGGTACAGAATTATTGTTGGATCAATTCAGCAGAAAGGTAATTGTTTTAGCTTTGTAAGAAGAGAGTTAAATTCATCAAGAAATTGGGGTATATACTACTGGTTGATTGATATAAGTAGCCAGATACCACAGACACACACACACTGTACAGTAATGCTTGCTTGCCAGATCGGTGTAATCTAGTCATCGGATGGCTGTTTCACTCGTGTGATATCGAGGTCATCATTCGGTGTGTGTGTGCACGGTTTTAATTTAGCTCAGAAAGGAAGTATGACTCCCTTTCTCCATGATTAGAGTCTGTGAGGTGAATGGAAGTCAATGGTTGGCATAAGCTGAGTAACATAGTTCAAAGTTGACACTGTCGTAACGCAAATTTCATCACTACTCTCACCTTCTGTTTGGTTATAAATAAAGAAGTTTCTATTCTTGAAGTAAATTCGTGCATGGTGACTAGCAGTGGAATCCTCCACTAGGATGCTCATTTCGTTCTCTCTACTGAGGACTTGTCAGCTATTGGAAATACGTGCATTCCCCAGTGAGTGAGTGAGTCATGGTTTTACCCCAACCACATCTTGTGCAATGTGCATTCGTAATTATTGAATTCAATATAAACTTTCTCGCTGACTGATTGGACCGAAGTGCTCGGTCTCAGGTGCATTCAGCTGACGAGTCCCGAAAAGGAAGAAATGCGCATTCTGTGAATTCCACTGCTAGTCATCATCCACCAATTTACTTCAAGTTTAATAATCAGATATCGTTGGAGTAATCTGCACAAGGAGCGAACATGTCAACCTGAGACGGAGCCCGAGCACTTCGGCCCCATCAATCAAGGGGAATGTCCAAATTGAATTAAGTAAAGTTTTAATCCTGTTTATATTACTTTTTTTGGTGATTCTGTAGCCTATGACTACTGTCCAATGTTTTAATCCTTTGTCCTTTGTGTCTTTCTTGTCGTCTTCTAACTTAATGCATATTGTGACGCGATTGAGGTTGAGGATGAAAGTTATTGTGAGGTATTTTCACGCATAATGTATAGCAGACGCCACAGCAGATCTTTCAGCTGTGTTAAAAAGTTCGTAAAACACCTTTAAAACAGCCTAATCTCTAATCTGAAATTAGGTAAAGCAGCGGGACGTGATGGAATGACTCCAGAGGTGTTTAAGGACGGTGGAGACAATTTAATGTCTAGGTTAACTAAGGTATTAGGCAATGTTTGGGAATCAGAGACAGTCTCGTTGGGCTGGTGTAATTCATTGGTTATCCCAATATACAGGAAGGGAGACAATTCTTCCTGCGATAATCACAGAACGATTCGCTTGACTAATATGGTATCTAAAATTCTAGGTTCGATAATCATGTGTAGACTAAACGGTGCTCTGGAGGAACAAACATGAGAGAACCTGGCAGGCTTTAGACCACGAAGAGGGTGTATTGATCATTTCTTCACCCTTTGACAGATTCTGGAACAAAGGCATTCTTAGAGGCGTCTAACAGTTGCTATATCCGATATAATGGAGAAGATATGTAGCTCAGGTGGATGATTTTGATGTACTTGTATTTTCTGAGCTGGACGGTTTACTTGCGAAGCTTTCATTGCCCTACTAGGCAACATCTTCAGTGTATAATTCAGCATTTAAGTAAGGTCGGTCCTGCATTTCTGTTACTATTGTTCTTTATAATGAACATTTCACTCGTGTTCATTGTGTTGTTGTTGTATAACCTTTAAAGGTCTTCATTGGAAAGTTAGGAATAGTATGTGTGTGTGTGTGTGCGTTTACTAACCACTTTTCAAGTTCCCGTGTTATTTCTACATTTCCTTCGCTTTTTTGTTTCTCTCTCTCCCTCGATAGGAACTTATTGCATTGGTGAAAGATCTATCCGAAAAATTCTTTGAATCAAAAGGTGAATTAATTGAACAAGAGGCACGTTTAAGAGCTGAAATGTGTGATAATCTAAATCAACAAATCATAGATTTTGAAAATAAGTTTGAGTAAGTTATCCTGATGCCTTTTTGGGTAGCCTTTTTTTAAAAAAAAGCTTTTCTGTTTTCATTCCTTGCTCATCCTGAATTGGTTGAGTGGGGAGTGGTCGGCTAATTAACTGACGTCGTAATCTCATCCTGAATGCAAAAGGCTAATGCGTGCGTGGGTGGCCATTTGACTTCCTGAAGTCAGTAGTATCTGGCGTAGACGTAGTATCCTGTTAATTATCGATCAAAGAACGTATGTATTATACAGCAGTTCGCTCTTTCCTCCTTTATGACTCTGAGACATGGCCATGAAAGGTAAAATATAGGAAAAGGCCAACTGTCTTTTATCATAGGTGTGTACTTCCCATCTTCCGTGTTAAGTGGTATAATATGGTGAGTAATATTGAGGTAGGGTGTGTTAGGTAAGGTGGAAAAGTGTCAATTGATGAGGTTGTGATGAAAGTGAATTGATTGAGATGGCTAGGACGTGTGTTGCACCATGCCAAACCACCGTCTCCCTCCATGAGAAGTGGCCAGTCAGTATGAGATAAGGTTGATCAAACCAAAACCCGGGATCAGTCCATGAATTCTTTGGTGTATAGCTAGTTTGAGCCACGTGAATGAGGTATAGACTGCCTGGTTGGGGTGGCGGGGCGGGGACGGCTCAGGATTCTAAGATTCAATGCCTGGAGATTGCTCTGGTGATATGGTTGAATATTGTTGTCAATGGTGCAGGTCCTCTTTCCACTAAACCGTCATTTTTTCCCATGTTGCTGTCCTTCTCCTTCACATTACTACTTGTTATTATGATTATTTTTATACCTTTTTGTAAACCTTTGTGTACTACATGGAGTGTGGTAAGTTGAGCAGTGCTGGACTTCGGTGCGCACGGTTCTACACTGAGATTCACTCAGTTAGTCAATCAGCCAGAGTGAAACAACTTGGAACTTCAAGCTTTAAAGTTTCACTAGCGATTGTTGTGTTTTAACCGGTTGGTGGATAAGATAGATGGCTGCTAGTCTCATGCCCAATTTTCCTGCCTCCCTTTGTCTAAACTTACTGTTATTAGCTTGTAAACTGCGTGGAGACGAGGGCGTATTGATTATATTGTCACCCTTCGACAGATTCTGGAAGATATGCATACTTACCGGCGTCCAACAATCGTAATATTTCTTGACCTGAAGGCGGCATTGGATTCTGTTGACCGAGAGGTACTCTGGCGGTGCTTGGCTGCAAAGGAATGCCGAGAAAATGCATTGCTGTGATCAAGCCACTCTACTCGAACTCATGCAGCCAGAAGAGGGCTTACGGCGAGTTGTTATCTGAAGTGGTGGCAACTATTGGTGCCGATAGGGATGCCCACTATCTCCGTCTCTATTCAATTGTATCATAGATGCATGTGCCAATGAACTTAACCCTAACTGATTTCAGCGACTCAGGGATTGACTTGTTACCAGGGAATAATCTCGTTGACTTAGAATATGTAGATGATATAGTCCTGCCCTTAGTTAAGACGCTGACAAAATGCAGTCTTCTGAACACCTCGAGCTGCAATCTACGAATGTTTGGCGTGTGGTTCGCTCTTGTCAAATGTAAGATGATGTTACGGGACTGTACTAAACTGACTCCTAACCTAGTAATAGGAAGTAAAGTGTTAGAGTGTGTTGACCACTTCACGTATGTGGGAAGTTGCATCAGTCAATGCCAGCGAGTTGATCTCTGACGAAATCTGAGCACGGATACAGAGGGCTACTTTCGCATATACCAGTTTGCGTCATCTCTGGCGTAGACGTGATATCCTGTTGGCTGCCGACCAAAGGGCGTGTGTACTGCTCAGAAGTCCGCTCCGTCCTCCTTTAGGACTGTGAGACCTGGCCATTGAGAGTGGAAGACATGAAAAGATTAGCTGTCTTTGACCATAGGTGTTTGCGTTCTGTCTCCCGTGTGAAGTGGTATAATAGGGTGAGTAATATTGTGGTTAGGCGTGGGTCGAGTGCTAGGTAAGGAGGGAAATCAAAAGGCAAGGTTTTGAAGTTACATCGATTGAGATGGTTAGGACATGTGTTACGCATGCATCCCTAGCCATCGCCTTCGTCAATGGGCAAATATTAGCTAACATAGGGTCAGACTGGGAAAGAGCTAACGGTGGTCAAACCAAAACATGGAACCAGACAGTGAAGTCCAAAAAAGTTAATTTAAGCCAGCCACGTAGGAAGGTGTAGACTTCCTGACTGGTTGGGGTCGTCGGAACGGTAAACACCAATGACAGCTGGAGACTATCGGTGATATGGCTCAAACTCATCGTTCTCAATGACAGCGCAGATTCATCCACTCCTTGTGACTTATAACGCTCAATGAAACTATATTGATCTTCGATATTACTATTGCTTTTGTCTCATATCCCTGTCTACTGTCTCTATTTTACATTTCTTCTGTTGCTTTGTGTGCTACAAAGAGAGAGAGTGTGGCGACTTGAACTGTTGCACATCGATGCAAAGTTCTGTGTTAAAAACAGACTGACAGTGGCGACGAGGTGTTTAAGAAAGTTCATCAGTCGATAATCGAATCCATTCATCTAGCTAGCGTGACAGTCGGTCATTAAACCTTTGAACTATCGACTAATTTCATTAATTTTATTAAACAATTAGTTAACTGTAAGCATTAAAATAACTGCACACCAACTGGGATTCACGAAAAATACTCATTCAGACATGAATTCGTTCCTTAAGCTGTACAGTCGCACTTATATGTAATTTTTTTGTGTGTGTTTATTAGGTTTGTCAACCAAAAATAAGAATTAGGCTTATTGTTTACGTCATCAAAATGTATGCAAAAAAAATGTGGTGAATAATCCCCATTTTTAACTAGGGAGAGGGATGGAAATTAGTAAGTCTTGACTAGAGAAGGTTACGTTCGTCGGTGGCACAGTAGTTAGGATGCTCGCCGACCATGCATATGGTCCAGGGTTCGATCCCCGGCCGACGCACTCCTTTACCTCTCTAAGCCAGTAATAAGACTGGTAAAGAGGGAAGGTTGGGCATGAGGCCAGCGACCCCATCCTGTGAAAATAAACACTGCTACACAAACTTCAAGCCACTAGCTTGAAGCCCTATGTTCCACTGGGAACGTGGAGGAAAAAAAGGGAAGGTTACGTCACATGTAAGACATTCCGAAAAATAGGATGTTAATGAAAGAGTATGGAGACAAGTGTCTAGAATAAAGTGTGTAGTAGGCAGGAAGAGTAGATAATAGCGTTGGATAAGAAAAAGGTGCTACTAAAATTTTATCCAAAAATGCATAAAGTAGTATTAGTAACAAAGTAAATAGAACTTGGAATTATACCCAAAATGGAAGGGGGCGATGGACAAGTTTCTTCTGTCTAAATAAATCAAGCTTTTCCATCTGGATGGCTAAGGTCTCGGTAATACAAAGTATAAGGGAGCTTACCGTTTATCTGTAAATGTAGATAGATATAAATAAACACATAAAGCCCATAACCAACAAAGAACACCCCATCTCCATGCCGAAGAGGATACTGTACATGGATGTGGTGACGAAAGACGACCTTCTGACCGACATCTTAGAGAGCAGAATATCTAAAGCCCTGAAAACAGCATTCACTGCTGCTACATTACTTTCGGTGTTCTCATGCCGCTCATTGTTCTTCAACAACTCTAAAGACAAACTATCGCATTTGATAACTTCTATGTGTATCTATCAATTGACTTGCTCATGTGTAGCGAGCGAGATATACATTAGTCGTTTGATGCGTGTTTCCTCTAAAAGCGTCAAAGGACAATATCTCGCTAGGCTACGAAGAAGTAACAGTGGATCAATAAGGAATGGTATAATTGAACACATATTCAACACTGGTCACTCAGTATGTACGCAGAATTCATTCAAAGTCATCTACAAAGTCAAAAAAAGCCTCCCGAAGACGCTAAGCTTCCGTACACTATGCACCGCCAAAGCCTTAATCATCTGGGTGGATAAGCCTGATTTACGTACACAGAAGAAACCTACGCATCGCCTCCTTCCATCTTGGGTACAATTCCAAATCCTACTGCTTTGTGAAGAATGCTTGTTGACTTGTTTTGAATCTTTGTGTGACCTTTTAGTAAAATCTTTTTCTTATCCAACGCCTTTATTTACTTTTTCTACCTATTACATAATTTATTCTGGACAGTTGTCTCCATACTCTTTCATTAACATCCTATTCTTCTGGATGTCTTCCATGTGACGTAACCCTCCCTAGACAAGACTTACCAATTTCCACCCCTCTCATTGATATAAGAATAAAACTTGTGCACTGTGGTAGAGTGTAATTCCATTATGGGTAAATTTTGTTTTGATAAAGTCTCACAGTGTTTGTTATACAGTAATGTTTACTGATGACCAAGTTTCGAGCACAATTTATTGCTGCTCATAATCATATCAAGGCACTACTCACACAACATTCTAACTTCGTTTATATAATTCCATCATTATTTTCCATCGCTTGATTTGATTGGTGGTGGTATTTTCCATCTCTGTGGTATGAGTGATGAGTCATTCCTATTGCATGTGTTGGGTTTAGACTCGATGAACCAGGCAGTATTCAGTAATCAACCTCTAAGTGTTAAAAGCAGAACATACCTATCTCTAGCTTCTTGACACACATAAACTCACTAGTGGAGGGAATAAAATTCACAGTTGAAGCCGAAAATGAACAAGGAGAATTAGCCATGATGTTAGATTGTAAAATAAAACGAATAGAAGAAGGCAAACTACACACTAGTGTTTATAGAAAACCAACGCATTCTGCTAATAGATATTTAGACTTTAATTCATCTCATCCTTTAACTGTTAATGCAGGCTTAGTTAAGTGTTTAACAAACCGAGCAATGGCACTAAATAGCACAAAAAAGACCTAAATGATGAAATAAAACAGACAGAAGAGGTGTTGGTGTTAAATAACTAAAATTCATTAGGAAGATTGAAAGAGGCCAAAAGCAAAATAAAAATAATTGTGAAACTAATAA